GGCTTAGGGATTGAAGTTGTGTTGTTTATAAAAGCTGATGGAGTAACTAGATTTTTATTGTCTACCGTCGTTATAATAAATAGACTTTATATAATTTTAATGGCCGTAATGATTTGTTTTCAGTAAGCTTTTAGCTTTAGCTCGGCTTAAAATGCACATGAATGTACCCAACATTTCCAGAAAATAATTTTTATTCAAAGTAGAGCTGTGACTGAAAGTTGTGTGCTGCACAAACCAGATTTTTTTCTATGGCAAGGAGACTAGTACTGCTATGTATTGAACAAAGCAAATAAGTTTTGAAAAATTATTATCGTGTCGAAAACAAGTTGGAATATCCTGACACCAAACACATCAGGTATCTGAAAGGACCGACCTATACCTCAACCCTGGGGAAGGCTCAGAATTAAAACTAGTAACGGGATAAATAACTGGTTCTTTTTAGGGTGTTACCAGTTATTGTAAAGTAATAGAGTGAAGTTAAGAACCAATGGAAACCATCCTGTTTCTGAATATTTGTATATAATACGCTGAAAAGTAAGAAAAGAGATCTTATGTTGATGTCCGGCCTTGAGGATAGGTCTTATGTTTTCTTCCGGCTTGGGGACTGAATCCTTGGCCCGACATAGACTACACAGATGGGCCTCTTGGAGAAGTTTTTTGACCTTTTTTTTTGGGGGGGGAGGTCCTTCCCTTCCTCGCCGTTAAGGCTATACGGGATTTTTCCGGGCCAGGGAGTGTGGGCGGGGATTTAAAAGACTCCCCCGGCACCGGGACGCGAACTCGTGACTATTTTTATATCTTTGTATTCATATGTCAGGTTGCCAGGCAACGGCGGTGCAGTGCACACGCTTTAGCCCATTCGGCTACCCCGCCCACAAAGTTTTTTGACCTGAACATGACCTCGGATCAGCAGATGCAGCGATGAAATCTACTAACTACACCTCTTCACATACCATAAAAGCTAAGTTGTAATTTCCAACCCTAATTTTATAATATTTCATGTCAATAATACTCAAAACAGTCCATCTATCTGAATTCACAGTAATTTATTAAATTCTTTGAATCATGTATTTAGTTTCTTGTAAATATAATTTGTATATGTTCTTTATTTAACATAGAAATAAAATAAGTTTTTTAGTAAAACGTTATTTTAATTCTGTCACCCATTCATGGCTTGATGATCACAGGTAATGTAGGTAATTAGAAAGCATGATAAACACAAACTAGCCTTTGAGAAAAGAAATACAATTAATTAATCATGGACCAAATATATTATAAATTCAATTTTTTTCTAATTAATTTGTATTAAACATTTCTGGGTAATTATTATCAATAATTATCCAGTGGCATCCCTAATTTGAAACCCCAATACGTAGCAACATTAATGTCATCCCTTTTGTGTGGATAAAACGTAGCAATATGATATATGACTGTTTGGAAATAATAAATCATTAGGTAATAATTTGCAGAGTTTTTATTTTTTATGAAGTTTTTATGGTATAATGTTGCTATTTATTATAGTCTAGAAAAAATTTAAAATTTATGAATAAATTGGTGAAGGAAAGAGAATATTTCTGAGATCAAATGAACACCTCAGCATAGATTATATTTATATATTATATATTATATATATTATATTTATAGTATAGATTTTTTTTTTATTCATATTTTCGGTTTATATTTTTAATAGAGCTCTGTTTGACAATTAAGACCGCCTGGCTCCTTTCATAATATATCGAGAGCAGTAACTCAATGCCACCGCCTATATATTACGTAATTCATTGAAGAAAAGAAAAATAAATGATAATAAAAATATAATTAATGTTATTCTTTAGATTAGATAAGATGATTGATAGTTTATTTTTATTCCTCGGAAAAATATTGAAATAATAAACTTTTTTTTGTTTGGGCGAGTGTTTGTTTTATATTGTAATCAGTGCCGGTCTGAGACATTAGCTGCTCCTGAAAATCATTTATTACGGAAAATAGTACATTTTGATCACTGCCCTTTGATCATCTTCCACCTATAAAAAAAATATCTGGTGCGCTCATCTCACAACTTACATTTACCACTCTACTTTGAATAGAAATTATTGTTATTTTTTAATTTCGAAAATATTAAGTTATACAAATACTCATTAAGACCATCACAATAACAAAACCTTATTTATTATATAACGGATCGAAATGTCGTCTAGAAATATATATAAAATAAATTCAACCTTCAGAATCCTATTTAATGACTTATGAAGGTCCAAGATAATAACCACATTTCAAGTAAAAACAGCGACTTAAACATACAAAAATATCTCTCATTGAAATTCTTTTGTACGTTTAGTTTCTAATTCAAGCTTTAAAAAAAAATATTTCTTTTAGCCACCAGTATTTTATTTGTTTTTAGGACAAATAAATTTTATATGTTGTCTGTTCGTACTTTAATTGCCTACAAATTTAAATATTTTTTTTTCAGCTAATAGTAAGTAATAATTAATTAATTAATATTGACTTTTTTCCTTCTAGTATTGAGCTAGCTCAGTGGTAGGACACTGACGTCCAATGCCCAACGTCCCATGTTCGAATCCAGCAGATGACAGATAAACTATTGATTCTGTTTCGTCTGCTGTGAATCGAACCTAGTGTCGGGAAACCTCCTGAGGCATACCCAGCCTCTATATAGTGGGTTCCCTTAATTAAATAATTAATTAAGGAAGAAAACCTGGCGCTTGCGATCACGGTCAAATCACCTCCTTACACAGCCTTTGACTAAGAGTACTTCTTTACAAAGTACTGAATCCAAGACCCTTCATGGGTTGTAGTGGTACATGTGTTTTTGTGCCTCTAGATTGTAAAGGAATCCCTCTGTGCGAAGTCCTTCATTCTCTTGTTTTTTTTTTTTTTTTAGTAACACATTTCGCGATGAAGACATTTTGAAGCATTTTCTCACCACAAATACAAATACACCTACAAATATATATATCTGCATAAATTACATAATATAGCATATGCATATGTATTCTCTGCGAATTCTTATCAAATCCAGAAGGAAGTGGTAGTTTGAAAATTGTCTTTGAATGATTTTTTTTTAATCATAAAAAAAAATTAAATTTTTCATTTTTATTTTATTATTATTATAATTTTATTGCTGTTTTAAAATAAAATACAATACAAATTAATTTTATTTTAAATTTTAAAAATATCATTTGAAATATCGTTCCTCCGTTTATTGTAAAATGTCACTAACTACAGTAAAATACATACAGTGGGTCACCAATTCCAAACAAACTTTTTATGGTGATACTAAATTTAAAAATATTAGACACATATCCTGGAGTTCGTTCCGATCGATCCCATGGGCTGTGGACAAAAGTTATATATTTATCTTTAAATTTATATTTCAAACTAAATTTGAGTTATTTATTTTTGCCCAGAATACTAGGTTCCAATATATCAATCGATTTATTTTTTTGGTTAAGATTAAAAAAAATATTGATTGTTGTATTAAATGATTTATAATGCATTATAAATTACAAAGAACAAAAGGCACAGTAAAATAGGCCAAGTAAATTTTTGATATTAAAAAGCAAATTAGATTTGTTTTTAGATTTATATAAAACTCTTAAATAAGATATTTATATAAATAAAAATATATATCCTTTAGTACTTGATTGATTTTTTTTTTCCGGCCGTCAACTAAAGTATTCATAATTACTCACGATTTTTCTCAAATTCAACTTTAATATAACCATTAACGTTATATTAATAATATTATTATTACTTATTTTTTTACCGGCCTGTTCTTACAAGTACGTATAATAATAAATAATCCTATGTATTATTTCTAAAAGGGTTTTTTTTTTTTTGTTGGTACACCATAACTTCGTCAATTCTTCATCAAATCCAATGATTGACCACTCATTTTGAAGATATTCTTCTCCTTCACATGCGAAAAATAGTCCCATTCCCCCGAAATTTCTGGAAAAAAGTTATGGAGGAAAAGAAACTTTATTTGCGAATAACTCAAAAAGTATGCATTGATTGTACCCATGATAATTAGAAAGATTACTAAATTACCTACACAACAAAAAAAAATCGGACAATTATTAACAAAGATACAGTCCATTAGTTTTGGTATACTTAATAATGTCTTCCTGTTTAAAGATATTGCATTTAGGAGTAGAATAGTATACTACACTTTTTTTCCTGGCTGATATATTAATTTTATTATTTCTTAAAGACATTTGATTGTTCTTAATTTTTTAAAAAATAATTTAGAAAATCCCATGATCGGGGAATTATTTTCCCTTTATTACTTTTATTCACTGAGCTTCCAATGCAAAGGTCCCAGGTTCGAACCCCGGCTCATGGCAGAAAATTTATTTATCTGTTTCATTGGCCCTGGGGCGACCCTGGGTCGGGAGACCATCCTGGGGCACACCCAGCCTCTATAAAGTGGGTACCCTTAGTTAAATAATTGATTAAGGGGGAAAATCTAGCGGTTGAGCGTGATCTCGGTCAAGTCATCTCCTTGCACAACCGTTTACCTAGAAACAGTGCTTTCCCAAAATAGTAGTGAACCCCAGACCTTTCATGGGATGTAGTGGTGCAGGTTTTTTTATTTTTATTACTTTTATTATCTTTCCAGTCAATGTTTCAAAATAGGTCCCAGCAAAGCAATTTGTACAAATATTTTGGTCTATTATGTTTAATGGAATTAATTCCTTCTTTACATAATACATACGAACTACTTATTTCCATATTATTTGACTATTTTTTCAGAAAATAAAATTTTCTGCGATTTATTCGCACGGGCCAACCAGTATTACTTATTATAATTTAAAAATAAAAAGAACCTTTTTATTAGTTATAGTGTTGTAGGGTACCGTTACTTTTTTTTAGTCTTCTTGCCAATAACTAGCAATAGACTATTGTTCCAGTACTAATTGATTTGTAGGAATTTGAATGTTCATTTTTACTAAACTAATTTTTCATACGATTCTTAGGGAAAAGGAAACTTACACACAGATACCTACCATTACATAGGGCAAATTAATAAAGGTAAAGCATCTGGTGTTGGAATAGCGTGGTACATAGATGGATCAATATACTTCGGTACGTGGTTTGGTGGCAAAAGAATGGGACAGGGAATGATAGTAAACAGTAAGTATGGATTCCTTTTTCTTATAAATATAAAGCTGTATATGAAATATATATATATATATATATATATATATATATAGATATATATATATATATATATATATATAGATGATAGATATAGTGGCTCACAGTGAAATCGATACTCCCCATAGAAAAATAGAAACAATACTTAAATGGCTACAGTAAGGAAAATAAAACAAGCAACACTTCAATAGCTTTATTTATAATCTCTTGTAAAGATGTTTATTCACTATACCATGTGAATATTTCCACTATAAAGGGAAGATTTCCTAAATATAAAATAATATAAACTGAAAGGAAACAAATTCCACCCACTTGATTTTTTTCATGTTTTCATCTAAAAATATTTCTGTCACTTGTAAAAAAGTTGTATTTGTATATAATACATGGTATTTGTAGATAATACTTAGTATTTATGGAATTTTATAATCTTTTTTACCTTTAATAATCAAAATGTGATTGGGTAAGAAAGATTAGAGAAAAAAAAATTGAAAAACGAACCATTATTATTCTAAAAGAAATTAATTACATCATCGTTTAGTAGCGCGTGTTTCCTCCTGTTGCCTTCACTACTTCTTGAAGACGCCTCGGCATACTTTCCACCAGTCGGGAAATGTCCCTTTGCTGGAGGATAGCCCATTCCTCCCGAAGAGCCCTTTCAAGGTCCTGCAGTGTATCAGGAAGTGTTGCACGCGCTCTTATTCGTCTTCCGAGGTTATCCCATAAATGCTCAATGGGGTTCAAATCTGGAGAACGTGCTGGCCAGGCTAAAACCTCAATATTGTTCTGTTGAAGGAACGTCTGCACTATGCGGGCGACATGTGAGCGTGCATTATCGTGCATTAGAATAGAACGATCGCCGATTTCGTTGAGGATAGGCAACACATGAGGTTCCAAAATCTCATCTACATAGCGAATGGCCGTCAAAGACCCTCCACGAACAACAACCAATTCTGTGCGGCGCTCCATTGAAATCCCAGCCCACACCATTAAGGAACCACGTTGGAAAGGTTGGCTCTGGGAAAAATTACAGGCTGCATATCTTTCGTTTCTGATTCTCCACAGCCTTTCACGCCCGTCTGGAGATCGAAGAGCGAATCTTGACTCATCTGTACAAAGTACAGCACTCCATTCGTCCATAGTCCAATAGTGTTCTCGAGCAAAAGTCAGCCGTGTTACTCTGTGAGTTCTGGTCAACTCTGGTCCTCTTAATGGACGAAAAGCCATTAATCCATACTCATTTAGTCTTCTTCGAGTGGTATTTTCAGAAATTTGCACACCTCGAACTTCTTCGAGCTGATGAATCGCTTGAACAACGGTAAGGTGCCGGTTTCGTAAAATTCTCAAAGTCAAAAACCGGTCATCCCGTGGTTCTGTTACCCTAGGCCGTCCAGAACCGGGCCTTCTATTGTAAGAACCAGTTTCCCGAAAACGCCTGACGGCGTCTCGTAAAGTTTCATATGGAACTCCGATGGCATTAGCTGCATATCTAATGGAACGTCCATCATCAATAAGTGCCACACCACGCGCAACATCCTCAGCACTAAGAGGCATTTTTAAACTTAATATTGAAAAAATTAAAAGCCGGAGACTAAGAAATGTGCTGCAAGAAACGGCACTGAACTAATGATACTGGATAAACATTTTGATTCCATAGATAGTAAACATTGGAATCCAGAATCATTTCATTGAATTAAGGATTAAGGGTTATTGTCCTCTATATTAACATTCCTAATTGAAAACAAACAAAAAGATTACCTATTTATTTATTAAAAACAATAGAACAATCCAAAGCAGAAATATTTTTAGATGAAACCATGAACAAACCAAGTGGGTGGAATTTTTGCCTGTCAGTGTATTTGAATATGCTTATAAATAAAATAAAATATTAGATTCAACAAAATGGAACATTTATAAATTACACAATTGAATTCGAACAACAAAAACTAAAAACCTCATGAATAATATCACTTTATCCAACCCTAGTGTTGACAATAATCTAACTAAATCACTAAACTAATGAAATCCGAAATGAGTAATAAATGATAACATTATAATAAATAATTAATTTGATAAGAAAATTTATGCTTTAATTATTGCCCAACTAAGCGAAGCTACACGATGCTCATGTGTTTGGATTGTCCGCTAAAAGCTATGTAATGATTTTTTGAGCGAACCTCTCGATCGATTTTTAAGTTTGACGGCTCAAATTATTTGGTGAGATCATTTGAGTGTTTTGGAACGATTTGAAATAAAAATACTGACCCGTTATTAAATAAAACGCATTTAATCAATTCACAATAAATAAGATATGTAACTGTTACTTTCACTTAACAATATATGAAATATATACTAAGGGTAAGTTGTGAAAATGTTCAAATTTGAGTTTTCAACGTAAATACATGTTTAGAGGTCTCCTGAGTCCAAATAACCAAGCCCTGCAAAATGGTCTGTCTGTGTGTGTGTATGTGAACACTCTAGCTCAAAAATGAAAGGTTGTACGAAATTGGTATTAGATATTTAAGATAGGTATATGCCTTAGATGTGGCAGCAAATTTTTCCTTAAAATCGGCTAACCGGAAGAGCAACTTTATATCAACGCTGAAACAAATTTTTATAATTTTCTCAAAAACGATTTTGATTAAACTCGGTGTATCATTATATAATGAAGTTATCTTTAATACCAATCAGGTACTATTCCCATTGAAGTCACTTTACAGGGTTTAATACAAAACACTCAATGTTCATATAATACCTAATGTTTCCTCTAAAGTACCTTTAATATGGTTTATGTTATAGAAATATGGTTTATGAAGATGTGAAATCTAAAAGTATTTCATGGATATGTTTATAACCTTAAATAATTTTGCTGTAGTTTAATAACTCTAGATCTGGTATTATATTTAAATAATTAGGTATCTATCATCCGTTTAATCCGAAAAATCATCATGTAACCTTTTAGAAAATTAAATTAGTGAATAATTTGGTGAATTTTTCCTTTGTGATATTCCAGCAGTATCCACTTCCAATTAGTGTGACAACTTTTGTCCTGTCTATGGCAGACAATGTAATGTTTTAATTCCATTTTAGTAAACGTTGCCATAGAAAATAATAGTTTAATAAATAATAATCGTACAATCCATAACCAACGGATCGTACAATCTATAATCAATCGGTGATATAATAAATAGGACTTTTGTTATTTTAATGGTATTTATGGTATTTTAGCTGTAAGTTTTTAGTTTTAACTCGGTTAAAAATGCAATTGAAAAATTTATAATAGCCCATCATAGCCCAGAAAATAATTTTTACACAAATTTGAACGGTAAGTGAAAATTTTGTGTTGGGCATACCAGATTTTAGTATTTACCTTTAACATACTTTTGTTATTTACAGATTTTGTAACCATAATTTATTTATATAAATCATTTAATTTGTGAAGTCATATATTTGTTTATACTTATGTCAATATACTTTCTTTAGGACTAGTTATTATTATTTTATATTTTGTTTTTTCATTTTTATTTACTTTGTTTTATTTTTTTAAAAATTTATTCTTAATTACATTCATTTATTTTTCTTGTATAAATATATATTGTAGAAGTGGATACTTTCAGCTCTAATGCTGATTGCCCTTGAGTGTGGCAGATTACATTAATATTCAATAAGTAAGAAAATAAATAAATAAAATTAAAAAAAAAACTATCCAGCTGTATGCTCGAAAAATCGTTACATAATTTTATTAATACAATCTAACCCAAACACATAATTCTTGTGTCGCGTCGCTTATTCGGGTAAAAAAATACTCTAATGCTATTAATGATGTGATTATTTTTGATGGTAAAGTGGAAAAAGGTCTAGTTTAGAAAAATAAAAATCAGAGTAGAGTATCTTGAAGCAATATTGCCCATGGAATCAAAGCAGGATAGAATTTAACTTTTCGTTTCCTTTCGGGTAACATTTCAAAAAAATGAGCATAATCGAAATTAGCAATCATATTGAACTCAAATAGCCTTAGATTTAGATTCCTCCTCTCAAAACAGTTCACAATCTACAGCCTATTAAGTTATTACATCTGGATTGTGATAACACTATTTGACATATATTTTACTGGATAAATAATAACCAATTTCACCAAACAATTAATGAGAAATATTCTTCTGATAAAGAATACATCAAAAAATTATTTATGATATGTTAGCTGTAAGCTTTTAACTTTAGCTCGGTTAAAAATGCAATTCAAAAATTTATAATAGCCCGCCCAACATGGCCAGAAAATAATTTCTATTAAAAGTTGAATAGTAAGCGAAAATTTTGTGTTGGGCGTACCAGATTTTAGTGTTTACCTTTAACTTACTTTTGTTATTTACAGATTTTGTAACCATAATTTATTTATATTAATCATTTGATTTGTGAATTCATATATTTTTTTGTACTTATGTCAGTATAATTTCAGTTGTGATTTGTTTCTATTATTGCCCAATGATATAAATATGGCTGAAATTTTGAAATTACCCACACAAAAATAATTATTTCTTTTCATTACTATTTCATATCGAGTACTTTTGATAATATTTGTCTAGAAAACAGGAACCGGTATGAAGGAAATTGGTATGCTGATAAGAAGCACGGATTTGGACAATACTGTTTCTTTGATAAAGGCCAAGCCCTGGAAGGTATTTGGGTCGATGATATCTGCATAAGAGGCACTATGAGGAATATTAAATACAGGCAGGCGGCAACAGATCCAATCAAATACTCAATACCGGCGGTAAATCTACTGATAGTTCAATGACAGTATACAAAAAAAAAAAAAATTTATGATAGACTTTATGGCAAAAACAAATCTTATATTCACTAGATATATTAAAGGTTCGAATCTGGTCTAGGCGGGCTGAAATTTAGGTAATTATTTACAAGTGGTATTCCTCCGGCCATTTTGCTTGAATGGAGGTTATGCCCAGTGTTGCTGCCCACTCTGTGACAAATCCTCGTACCGAATCCTCGTACATCCTCGTACGCTTGCTCATTCATAACTCGTACTATTGTAAGCCCAGTGTTATTGTTTTTTTATAGTAAAATTAGATCAAAGCTTTTTATTTTTACCTCTATTCATATATTTTAAAGTCTTTTTACATTACATTTTTTTAAGTTAATGGGTCAAGAAGTAAAATTAGCTTAATAAAATATATAAAAAAGTGTATATATTTTTAGAAACTACTGGCAACTTTATATAAAAATTATAATAGCAAAATAAACTTCTTAAAGTAAAATCAGTATCCATTAGTAGATCCAAGATTTAATTTGGGGGGAGGGACGCATTTTTTTTTCTTTTTTTTTAAAACAAAACAACTACTTTTATGAAAGGATGTTAATGGTTCTGGAAGGCCCATACAATTAATTATTGGGGCATTAATGCTTTTAGAGAAATCCATTATAATATAAAAAATGAATAGATTGTGATTGTTTCGAGTTGTTATAATTTTTCAAATTATAACAACTCGAATAAAAATCGAAAATATATTTTTTTAAATTACGATAAAAAATTTTTTTTAACTTGATTAATCTAGAATATATTTACAATTGCAGTTTTATGAAGGAAATAATGGATATACTTTCTCGTATTTTATTTTATGCTCGATAAAAATGACGGTAAAAATTTCTTTTTAATTTTATTTTACAACACATTTCAAAAAATATATATTTACAAAAAAGTTTTATGAAGGAAATAACAGATATAGTTTCTTATATTTTATTTTATACTGGATAAAATCTAAAACTTTTTTTTTTAATTTTATTTTCTAGAAAATTAAAAAAAAAAACATATATATACAATCATGGTTTTATGGACGAAATAATAATCATACTCTAATTAAAGAAGATATAATTGCTATTTGTTTGTCTAGAAAGCAACAGAAGTTCAGTATTCCATATCATTATAAATAACAACACAGTAAAAATAATTGTAAAACTTCAATTATAACTAAACTTCATTCATAAAATATAACTTTGCATTGCATACGTCAGCAAAAGTTATGTACGATGTACGAGGCTGGTCTACCCTCGTACATCGTACATTACGTCATAACCTCGTACAAATACGAGGATCCTCGTACAAACGGCAACACTGGTTATGCCCTGTGTTTCTGATAACGTTTACAAAATATAGCACCAGAAAGCACCACTATTGCAGAGGGGTTGTCTTGTCAGCTCTTGTCCCCTCCAACTTACCTCTGTTTTCAGTAAATATAGAAATTATATCGTTTAGGTTATGTATTACCCGCTATTTTTTAAATTTAGCATTCCTTACCCATCATTACCCATTAAATAAATATCCATTGAACACACATTACAATTTCCATCTTATCGACATAATATATTTATGCTTATACTTTTTATATATATTCTGTCACATTTTCAGTCTAATGTGCTGCATACTGTCTTAAACAATCTGTTTCATTGAAAGAACTCCATTAACTTAAATTTAGTTTTAATTGTGACACTTTATCTAAATTTTTAAATATTTGATGGTTGACCGTTGTATATTTTAGATATTTGGATTGTATATATTCAATTTTTAAATACTTTATGTTTGACCATTGTATATTTTAGATTGTATATACTAAACAATTTACAATTTTCTATAAGGGTTTTAATGCTGGATAAGGGTTATATTTTTTCATTCATTTATCAGGGTTATGTTGTTCATTAATTATTTGTAATGAACGTAAGTTGGAGGGGGCAAGAGCTGTCAACACAACCCCTCCGCAATAGTGGCGCTTCCTGGTGGTGTGTTTTGTTAACGTTTTCAGAAACACAGCGCATAACCTCAATTCAACCAAGATGGCCGGAGGAGTACCACTTGTAAATAATTACCGAAATTTATTTCGGTGCGAACCCAAGAAATAAATCTAGAACCTTCCCAGTATGGTTATAATAGGTGTTGTTGTACCTCAAAAACAACCTTCTTCCGCATGCCAGAAATGGTGATGGGAGTAATAAATATCTCCAGAGAAATGAACACGATTGCTTTAGGAATAGTATTTCGCCTAACGTATTATAATTTTAGTAAGAAAAAAAAAAATTAAAGAAGGCGGAAAAATTGGCAAAGGGAGCGTAGAAAATTCATTTAAATCCTACCAGAAACCATTAAATTCAAAATTTCTCAAGCAATGCAAACTGTAATGAAATGTTGAAGCGATGGAAGGCAAGATGGAGCCTGATAAACTGAAGATTACGAGTTTGAGTCTGGGTGCCGGGGACTTTTAACTCTGGCATTAATTATTCACCGTTCAGCCGAAAAGGAGAGATAAGGGAGGGAGGAAAGTGTAAAACAGCGATACTAGCGCTAATCCAAACTTTCTTTGACTTCTCTTGAATATCCAATAGCGGATGGATTGTAATAAACAAAGGAATAAAAATATTCCATTCACACGTTTGTTTCCTACAATTTATGATTTGAGTAAGTGTAGCTTTTCAAATTCAAGATGCTATTAAATTTAATAGTTCTTGACATTGCAGTTCTGCATATGCATTATCCCTAGTTAAACATACGTCAGGTCGTCTCTTATAAAAATCTCAATTATCGGTGGCAGTATACAAGTTTAATGTGAACAATTAGTGTTATCAGTTACATTAACAATCATGTTTGATACTGGACAAAAAAATAAGGTGAGTAATCACTTATTTACAACACAAGAGTGAACAGTGTAAATAGACCTTAGTTTAGTTAGATAACGGCCAGCCATATACATCGTTAATCCCACTAGTGGGCTGGAGCTCTCCGTCGGAAGCAGACCTGTGCTCTCGTATTTTCGTCTTCAATAAAAATATTTTTTTTCATCGCTCCACTTTTATCAATTTTTCTTTTAAAAATTAATATGAAATGCGATATTATCACATGCTAATGTCGAGTAAGGGCAAAAACACTAGCTCTAGGGACCTCGATGCTACAATGAGTTCTCACATTAAAAAAAAGACAATGCATTCGAAAAGAAACACTCCACCAGCCACACCAGGGAGCTCCATAGAAGAAGTGGAACCCCAACTTGGCTCCTCACAACAACTCAGCAATTATGAGACAACTCAAGCTATGGGTGAAGAATCGCCGTTTTTTACTTCGAATCCATTTCAAGTGCTTTCAAATATAAATAACGAACAAATGGAAGCAGCATCCACCCCCAGAGAACCCAAACCCTCACAAATATTTTTTAGAAACATTAAAAATTTTCAATTGATGTGTCATCAATTGAATAATCTAGTCCAAAGCCGCACCAATGACACTAAATTAATGCCCGACACTCCAGAAACTTATAGAAAAATTATAAAATATTTATCTGACACCAAGGCTGATTACCACACGTATCAACTGCGTCAAGAGATGGCGCTCAGGGTCGTTATCAGAAGACTGCACCCATCTACGCCAACAGATGCTAAAAAAGAAGAGCTCATGGGTATGGGATTCCATGTTCGCCAGATAGTGAACATATTCAAGGAGGATAGAGAACAGCCTGGAATAAAAAATAAAATACCTTTTCCACTATTCTTCGTTGACCTTGACCGAACACCCGATGTCGAAAACATCTACAAGGTCACACGTCTTTCTTATACAAGCGTTGTTGTAGAAAAGCCCTACAGCAAGCGCGACATCGTTCAATGCCATAACTGCCAGGCTTATGGCCATACGAAACGGTATTGTCATCACATTCCTAGATGTGTGAGGTTTGGTGAGCAACAGAGGACTGCAGGAAGTCTAGAACATGCAGTATGCGCTTTATGCCACCAAGGATACCCAGCCAACTACAAGGGTTGTCAAACATACAAAAATTTAAAAAAACGAATATACGCAACGCCTAGAGAAGAAAGGACATCCAGGCCACCAAGATAACCCTCTAGAACAGTGAACGGAAGAGATAGGACACTCTCAGATGTTCAAAGGAGACACTGTAAACACTCAATCTCAGGCCCTGCCACAAGAACCTCAACCTCAAGAATTCACACATCAACCTCAAGACCCATATCCCTCCATCCCCGAACGTAGGTTAAATACCCATACATTCATTCCTCCTCCTTCCAATTCCACTGACCTCACAAGCCTACTGACATCTTTCCTTTCCGAATTTAGATCTCTCATTACCGCTCTACTTACCAATGTTATATCCAACCTCATTACACTGTCAAGAAATCCATAAATGTCCTCAACCAAATTCCTCTTCATTCTCCTTTGGAATGCGAATGGTATTCGGAACCACATCAACGAACTGACAATCTTATTACATGAACTCGACTACCCAACAAACGACAAATCAACGTGCCCGGCTACATTATTTGTCGAACCGACCATCCTGATGGAACAGCACATGGTGGCACTGCCATAATTATCCATCGATCCGTTTCTCATCATTTGTTTCCCCTACCAAGTCATAATTTCCTACATCACACAACCGTAATAATCCAAACACCCCTTCACCCAATAACACTAGTTGCGGCATATTCCCCGCCTAAAACACCCATTTCCGAATACCAAATAATTTTCTTCCTGAATTCCTTAGGACACCACTTCCTCCTAGGTGCAGATCTAAATGCAAAACACCAGCAATGGGGAGCCAGATCCACAAATTCCAGAGGGCTAACATTGCTATGTGCACTTAATTCTCATCGCAGCAACATCCTTTCACCTTATATTCCCACATACTGGCCAACAGATCCCAACCGCAATCTCGACCTTCTAGACTTTTTCCAACACAAAGGTCTAGGATCACTGTTCCATTTCAAGGTTTGATGATCTTTCCTCAGACCATAGTCCTCTAGTCCTAACCGTTTCCACATCTCCCATTCCCAAATCACCCACACCTTCATTTATCAGGGGTCCAGTTAACTGGAACCTTTTCCGTCAAATACTGGAAGATAATATCCATAATCGAATCCCACAACATCCCTTCTCATCAGTTTGGATTCCGCTCAAGACATTCCACTGTCCAACAAGGCCTCTGCACTTGAAAACAAGCATTATTGCACTGGTGCCTTTCTGGACGTAGCGCAAGCTTTCGACCGGGTGTGGCACGATGGCTTGCTTTTCAAGCTCAAAACCCATTTACCCCAATCCTAATACCTAGTCCTCAAATCCTACCTCTCAAATCGTTCCTTTCAAGTCCGTTGTGATACCGAATTCTCCACTTACTATCCAGTGTTGAGGCTGGTGTTTCACAAGGCAGTGTCTTGGGCCCAGTTCTCTACATCCTCTTCACTTCCGATATCCCTTCAAATCCCGATACATTTCTAGCTACATTTGCTGATGATACTGCCATTCTATCCTCCACACAAATCGCAGCATCTCTAAACCTACAATCTCACCTTTCCTTGATTGAGCAGTGGTGCAACAACAGGCTCATCAAAATCAACGAATCAAAATGCAAACATATTACTTTCACCCTGGGACGCAGATCCTGTCCGCCAATCCTTTTTAATTCAATTCCACTTCCCTACTCAGACACAGTCCGTTACCTTGGCTTCCTTCTTGACAAAAGACTTACTCGGAACCCACATACCAGACTTAAAAGACAAGAACTTAACCGATGATATGGCCAGCTGTATAGATTACTAAGTAGGACATCCCATCTATCGATTGAAAATAAACTTTTAATCTACAAGACCATACTGAAACCAATCAGGATCTACGGACTTGAACTGTGGGGAACTGCTAAACATTCGAATATCAAACGCATCCAATCCTTCCAGTCCAAATTACTTAGAACAATAGTCAATGCCTCATATTATGTCACAAATAAGACTCTACACCATGACCTTAACATCCCATTTGTCCTCGACATCATCCCATCCAGATTCTCAAACTTTCACCAGAACCTCATCCATCATCCAAATCCTCTAGCTCAATCCCTATCCAGCTCCCTTCATCCCTACAATCCTCCACGAAGATTAAAACAGCAGTGGCCCAGAGATCTCTTGTAAATATGCTTCTGGAGTCCTGGAAATGGCCAGCTTCTTCACTCACGTCCTGAGCGTCTGTGGCTCTAGTGTCCTCTTTCAGTCTCCACTGACTTCTAATACTAGTGATGCGGCTGGAAAAGTGGCACTGGGATCTCCTGGAGTCTTGCTTTGCCTTCCACATGTGGGGGGGAGCCTGGCTCTGAGATTCCTGGGCGAATGTATATATTGTATATAGGTATGATTGTGTTTAGAAGTTTCTATTTTATGTTATTGTTTACTTTTTTTTCTTTTATTTATTTTCTTCATCAGTATTATTTATTTACTTTTTATATTTATATTTATTTCTCTATTATTTGTATATATTGTTTGAATGAGAACTCTTAGCCCTAATACTTATAGCCCTCCAGCAGTGGCTGATTGAATTATTATTCAATAAATAGATTAAAAACAAAAACAAAAAAAAAAAGTTCTTGACAATATTTAAGTTAGTCTTTATTCACCATCATTTTTGACAAATCTTACACTTTCTAAGGCAAGTGCGATTCTCAAGATCTGTCGTTTTTTTTCTCACGAAGTACAAAACTACAAAAAAACACTTTTTTTTTTGGTTGGGGTGTAAATGGATTTAAGAATTACCTTTCAGGTTAAATAAAGTTTTTTATTTTCAAATAAAATTTTATTTTATTTCAGTTGATGCTGAAAGATTGGCCTACCTCTTATTACCAATGGGAAAAAGAAGCTTTGGCTAGAGTAGGTAGGTACGTCAGAGAAGACATCGGAGTAACATTTGACCAAAATGAAGAAAGAGAAAAATGTTCGATTTCACAGGATAGCTATCTGGAAGACAGAGACGATATTGAGGGTCAAATAGATCTTCTCAATCTCAGTCAATACTCAAAATATCCTGCTGCTATTACTGAAATCCAGCCCTGTGTAATATTGAAAAAATAAATGAAAATGAAACCATATACGTTTTATTTTTCATTCATTTATCGGAATAGGTTAAAATAAAAAGTATTCGATATAGTGATGGGACAGAAAAACATAAAGAGTTATTCGTAACAAATAAAAGCAGAAGTAAAAAAAAAATACTATTAAAGAGGAAGATTAACAAGATAGAGTTAAATTTGGGAAAATAAACCAACGATATTTACCGAACTACAGTAAATATATTTAAGGTTACAAAGATATGGTTTATACATCTATGAATATTTTTATATTTCACTTTTTCTTTCATAAAAGTACTATGTAATAATTTTTTATTTATACTTACCTTATGTACAGTAAGGGAAAGTATTGCGATCGTGAAAATTTTCGAATCTCAGATTTTAACTGAAATGCACCTTTTGAGGTCCCCTAAGTCAAAATAACCAAGTCCCACAAAATGGTCTGTATCTCAGTGTATGAAATGAAATGAAAATATATTTTATTATTCTGGGACTGTTGTATCTTTAGAACAAATTATAACTACAAAATACATGTATGTTTGGTCATAAATAAATTAGATATATACAATAATAATTATTTAAAGTAAAAATACAGAAGAGAGAGAAAAATACAAGAAAAGCGTACATATATACAAAACAACCAAGGGAAACTAAAATAATAGAAATAGTTTCTGAGGGTTCTTCGAATAGCGTTTTTAGGTATATTTTGTAATCAGTCGGATTAAGAAAGCAGTAGGTGTTTAAAAAGGAGAGGTTTGAAAGAGTAAACTGATTGTGGGTGTCAAATATCAGCAGAGATGGAATTCCAGAGGGAGGCGGCTTAAATAGCAAATGATTTGTCAAACGCAGCAGTCGGCTGAGGAGGAGAATAGGGGTCGAAGGTACAAGATCTAGTGGGATGGGATTGGATGGAGTGTTTGAATTGTAAGCTGTGAAAAATATAGGAGTGTCTATGATTTTTAATGATCTGGTACAGAAAGGTAGCTAGGAAGTAGTGACGGCGATAGGATGGGTAGAGCCACTTCAACTCGGTGTAATACTGGATAAAAAGGCAGGGCAAAAAGATTGAAGATCCTTGATATGCATCCAGGTTTAATAAGGTAAATGGTCTCCAAACTATGTACTACACCAATGCATTAAAATTTACAATGTAAATAATTAATACAAAATGTTAAGTAAATAAAGTGTATTTATTTAAGAAAAAAGTAATAAACCCAATAACAATATAATACAAAATGAAACTTAGCATTTTAGCAGTAATAATTCAGCTAAGCTTAATCGAAAATGTTTGAAGATCCCTTGATCTCACTACTGCACATGAATTTTCTAAAAATAACAATTCCGAGCTTTTTTAACAATGTGTATAATACATTAATACAATTCAAATTTTCATTTTGAGAAAGATAATATTAAACTGACTTTGATTGAAAATAACACTCCCAAGGGTTCTGTATTTAATTCCTCTAAAGTACCTCTTTTGTAATAATAACATTTTATGATTTTTAAATGTGAATTTTTGGTCAAAATATATACATTTTATTTGATACACAAAATATTTTTTTTTATAAACAAATCGAAAGATTATTAAACAAAAGTGGAAATACACTGGTTTTCAAAATACAAATGTTAAATATACTGAGGTTCGAATAAATAATAATATTGGAAACAACCAATCGTTATCTCATGCAAAATTTCTAAAACAAAAAATATATTTATAAACACACAAAACCATGATGCTACAATACGATAATCAAGCCAAAATGTCTCTATTAATCGAAAACCTTTATTTTTAATCAGAGAAAAAGACGTAAAAACATGAGAAAAAAAGAAATGGAAAATCATCATTAAAACAAAAATCAACCTATACAAAAATGTTTACAATTATACTAGAAAAGGTTGAATAAAATTGAATGGGTACATCAAAGGAATGGACCTGAACTGTATCACTAGACAAATAGTTTATAGAATTATATATATATATATATATATATATATATATATATATATATATATATATATAATAGGAGGTGGACGTAACAGACACAATAAAATGAATTAATGAAATAAAGCTAGACCTCAAATAATCAGAAGTTTTACGAAACCAAAACCAACATTAAAAAAAAAAGTTATGACCCAAATTACACACTTGGTGAACTGAACCAGCAGAAGTGGCAATGAGTTGAGCCAGGAATACCTGAACAGAAGAGAGAAAAGAAGTACATAGCAAAAGAACAGAATAAATATGGTTGCAAAAGAAGGCGAGAAAGCACATCTGAGAGTTTTATTTTGTCCCGATTGCGCTTATAATAATATAATACTGAGGAGAGTAGTAAATGACAAAGTCAGATAAACTTCTAAAGATAAAGTATATAGAGGAATCCATTTGTGCTTATTTGTTTTAGGTAAAATATTTTATAATAATATAAAGTAAGGCTGTGTTTTTACTTCACATAAATTTCAATTTTACATCAGCTACGTTTCGGCTAGTAAGCTATTTTGAAGCCATTATATTTAATAATGCTTCTTACATGTAGTCCATAATTGGATTAAAGTCATGTGTACACATCTACTATAATACAATTATGAACAACATGTAAGGAGCATGATTAAATATAATGGCTTGAAAATGGCTTACTAGCCGATGTAAAAATGAAATAAATGCAATGAAGTAAAAACAAAGCCTTAATATAAAGAGAAATGTTTGGAGTAAATAACACAGAGAGATTAAATCCAGTTTAAAAGTGAAAATTTCTCTTCAGGAGTCCTATTTTCATTTCCTAGAAGGATTACTACAATCAACTATTTACTACATAATTTAATGACTTTTATCTGGAACTTTTTACAACATTGAACTTAAATAGATATGTTAATTTTGTCAAGAAATCAATAACATTTTAATATTCTTAATTATTATTGTTTCAAATATGATAAAGAGGATTCATATTATGAACTTCATACAACTCACCTCTAAACTACTTTCAAAAATGACTTTTGTATCATTATGACAGTTTGAATTTTCTAAACAAGGCAAAATATGCTGTTGAACAACCAATTAACCTATTATTTCCTATGAAGTATAGATATTTTTTGTCTACTTTGGCCAGTTAATAAACGCTGTGATTAATCTCCCATTACACTCTATTCCTGGTTCCCCACTCTTCCACAACTCAACCTTCAGAAACTGGCCGAGGTATACAAAAATTTCTCCTAATCAGACCCACAACTAGCTATTCTGTTTTTATCAATGTTATTAAAGTTTTTCTAATATGAAACATTTTCATAGTTGAAATTATTTTATTCTATATAAAAAACACCAAATTTTAAATTCATATTTTATCACAATGATTTCAGTACATTTATTTTCGAAATAAAGGTACTTGTTTCTTGGTAGGTTTTCATTTCATAAATTACTGACTAAATGGTGTTGTCTTTGTATCCCTTATCAGTCCACTCTGTAACAAAAAAAAATTAAACTGCAAAAATTGTTTGTGTTCCTGTTTATATATTATAATTATATATAATGTCATCAGGGATGAAAATTGTTTTTTAAAAAATATAATTCAGAAATAAACAAAACTAAGTTTAAAAATTATAAGTTCTTGATTTAAAAAATTATTGAGTTTATGATTCTATCCTAAAGCTTGAATGAAAGGAGGAATGTAAAATAATCTAAAGGTTACAATTGGAATATATTAATACTTTGATTAAATTCTAAGTCGAATATATTAATCCAAATTTAATATTGAAGGATCATTATTTAGTACTGGGTTTTGAGTTTAAAGTGACATAGAACAATCACCTAATTTATTGAAAGATTAAAAGTTAAAGTTTTTAACCTGAAAATGAATTTGTTTTTCTTTGTATTGAAATTGTTAAGAAGATAAATGGTATTATTTTAAATTAGAAAAACGTTTTATACAAAGTTTTAATGAATTTCTTTTTGCAGGATAGTAGGACAATGAAAATACCCAAGCAGCCAAAACTTTATCTGAATACTGATGATCCTATCTCTAATTATAAAGTTCCATAAAAATAGTTATTGGGCAGTATGATGTATTTGATGTTGGTTTCAAGACCTGATTTGAATACTATCATTTATTTTGGTCACTTTTGAAATTGTTTTGGATAACTGCCTTGGCAAAATTTAAAAAATGTTCTGTGATATTTAAGGTATACTAAAAATATTTCTAAGAAATTTCAAAAAACCGATGCCAAGCCTACTTAACATGATCATTGTGGTGCAGATTATGCTTCTGACATCAGCGAAAGGAACTCTATTTCATGATTTGTGATAAAATCAAATAATAATGTTGTAATTTAAAAAAACAACCAATTGTCTCTTTAAGCAATTGTGAGGCTACATTTTATGTGTTATCCCAATAGTATTAAGGAATGTAATTATTTTGTAAAGTTGTTAACTGAAATGTCTTTTGATTGTTCTGTTATTGTTTATGAGGATAATATTTCGAACATTAAGATGTTGCTGACTTTGCAAACTAAATGATCAAGACATAACGATGTTAAATATTTCCACAATAGAGATTTAGTTATTGATGGTCATCTCAAATAAAAAAATATTGAAACTCAAGAGCGAATTGCTGATATTATGACCAAATCATTATATTGCCCAAAATTTGAGTATTTAAAAAAAAAAAAAAATCTTGTCGAGTAATATTGGCAGAATTGAAAAAGGGTGTCGATTCAATTCCTTATATTGAAATTAATTATATGGTAGGCATTGGTGGTTACACTGTATTTCATTCATAAGTTAAGTTGGCCTTGTGATTGATTTCACCTATCACCTTTTGAATCCTTGCGTTTGTCATTAATAAACTTTAAAAAACTGATAAAAGTTTTTTAGGTTATGATGTAAATAATGAAAAATTACCTCTGAACCTGTCTTCATTTAACAGGAGAAGAGTTTTGGTGAGCGTTCCACTTAAAGGTTTCCTGGTGCCACCCCATTCTTCAGGGAGCTCCTCAGGAGCAATGTGTTCGTGAAGGGCCTTGTAATTGGTACCGTGAAGGAATATCTGAAAAAAAAAAAGTTTTACTTTGGCATATTAATAACTATCAACAAATTGAAATTCATATGTTCCATTGCTCCATTGCAAGTTGAAAGTTCCTAAAAGTAAAAAAAACAAACAAAGGTAAGCTCTTGATCTTAAAACTTACTTAACATGTGACATTTTTATGAAGTCAAGTTTTAGACATATTTTGAATTTATTCAAGTAAAATGGAAAAGCATTATTTCTGAAAGAGTAAAATTGAATACAATGTCACATTGGAATTCTGTGATTAGATTATAAGCTTTTTAAATATATTTTATTTTTGTATTAATAACAAAATAAAACCCTACTACAGTAATTGAATTAAAAATTTTGTTTTAAAAAGAAATGAAAATTAAAAATGGCACATTTTTTACACTTCGAATAATCATAAATATTTAAAATTTCAGAAATTTTTTTTTTTTTTGCATTTTATAATAAATTCTAAAATTATTCAAGTCTATAAAAGTATTAAGACCTGTTTACTTTTAGATGTATATTTTAATTGCTTATTTTTCTTCTGTGGTAAGGAAGTTCCAAATTATTAATTATGGATTTGGCAAAGAAAACTTCCTTTGTGAGAAGTAATTGGAATATTTGTCTCATATTAAACCTTGACGTTTCGATATTATTTTTCCATCATCAAAACTTCTTGTGATATTTTATTACAATTCAATTTCCCTTTTTTTTTTTTTGTGCTCCTTGGACAGTGATATATTTTCCTTTTTTTAACTTAGATATTATTCGGGACAACTCATTTCTTGCCTAACAATTGACCTCTTTTATATGGCATTTTTGTATAGCTTACAAAAATATAAAAAAAAAAACCTGTACCACTACAACCCATGAAGGGTCTGGGGTTCAGTACTATTTAGGGAAAGTACTGTTTCTAGGTCAACGGCTGTGCAAGGGAGGTGATTTGACCGAGATCACGCTCAACCGAGATCACGCTCAACCGAGATCACGCTCAACCGAGATCACGCTCAACCGAGATCACGCTCAACCACCAGGTTTTCCCCCTTAATTAATTATTTAATTAAGGGTACCCACTTTATAGAGGCTGGGTATGCCCTAGAAGGGACTCTCAACCCAGGGTCGCCCCACGGCCAATGAAATAGATAAATAAATTTTCTGCCATGAGCCGGGGTTCGAACCTGGGACCTTTGCATTGGAAGCTCAGTGCCCTACCACTGAGCTACCCCACTCCCCACAAAAATATAAAGAAGTATTTAATTTTAGATGAATATTTTTAAAAAAATTCAAAACTTTGAGCCCATTTAGGAATTAGAACATTGAAGAAAGGAAAACAAATAATGATGTTACTAAGCTAAGGTAAATGACTACTAATTTAAGATACAATGTTTTAACAATTTTTTAAATTATTTATTGTACATATCTACAATATTTATATATATTAATTTTATTTAGTTTTTGTTGCATGTGCACTTTTTTTATTGCCATTATGGTATAATCTGTCATAAGAAAATATGAATTAGGTTAGCTAGAGAGAGAGAAATGTAAAAGAAATGTGTAAGGGGAGAAAAGAGTCTTCAGAGGTTAAGGAGAAAGAGAGAAAATAAATAGTGAATAGTGAAAAAAGAATATAAAATGTTTAATATGTATTAGTTTTAAAGATTGTTCTTTGTATTGATTTATAAGTATGCTGTGTATGTAGCAATATTTTCGGGCAACACCCTTATATGAAAATAAAGTGTTTCTCTCTGTCTAGTTAGCGTGTATTATGACTGACTGGCTTTAATTATGAACTACTTACCCTTTTCCTTAGTTTCTTTTTCAGAAGCCGTTTGAAAATGGAATGGATTGCAGTAAAATAACTTGGCTGATTAACAACGTGCACCGCTTTTAGCCTCATTGGAATTTTATCCTATATTTAAAAAAAAAAATATGATTTAAAATTTTTTGTTTTAAATGTTCAGATCAAAATAATTATAATTTCAATTTACCTGTACACACATTGCGAGGTGCCAACAGACAGTTGGGGTTATCAGCCTGGCCTGTTGCACTAAGCTGAGTCCTCCCATATCAAATATAACGCAGGTTCCCATCACCTGGAGGCGCAGATCCATAAGCATGAGCTCTAGTACTGTTCTTCCCATCATGAAGCTTTGTATCACAGGTATTTCAGAAGGTCGAAGTCTACCTGAAAAATACATTGACAGATGCATATCTTATTGTTCTATTCTTAATTTCCCTAGGTCTGTAGTGTGACATAGAGATTCATTTTGTGGTCCGCCACAAAATAAATTTTAATCCACCTAGGCCGGATTTGAGCCATTTCAAAATTGAACTAACATCGTTACCCAATTCAACTTCATTCTGATTAGATTTATTATTATGCATAAAACTCTGTTAAGATATGTGGCACCATCAAATATACTCCCATAGGAAATATACTGAAGGGGTGTCCATACACTGTAAATGATTAGTTAAAAGGTTAATTTTAAATAACTTGTTTTGGTGGGAATTGTAAATATCTCTTCCATTTTTATATCGGGGAATTAGGTTATTTACACTCATGAATATTAAAACAAAACCCCGGTACTTGATATAGACTTTTTTTGAGGGTGTTTAACTGTTGTTGGGAATTCGGGAATCTAATACCTTTTGTGACACTGCGTGACAAGAAACAATAAGAACATATATATTTACATACACATTTTATATATATATATATATATATAAAATGTGGGACTTAGTAAATACACTTTGAATGAATTGACTCACCTTGTTTATTATTCTTCAATTGTGAGACCTATAGGACAACTAAATAAAAGGACTATTCACTCCTGTCATACAAAACAATTTATTTTAACAACTGATAATAAATTAATATGTTAAAGTCTTATAACTGCAGGCTTGATATTCTTAGTCTTCAATGTCCTGCCTCTCTCTTCTGACAACCTTGTTTATTTCTGTCCCAGCCTTAAGTCCTCTCGCCTTCCTGTCTCAGCCTCAAGTGCCCCTCTCTCTCTCGGCGTTCTCCTGCAGCTGTTGCCACCTGGTCTGTCCTTTTTCCAGCGTCATTCTTCATCGATTGTTTATCGATATGAGACTTTCCAATGAATAATTTGTCCACTGCATAATTGAGGACAATTCATCGTGCAACCTCACATTCCTATATATTATATATTCCTTCTCATTCCCTCACCCAATGTCACATAAATGAGTAAATACCGGGGGATGTCTACTACAACACGGATGCCATATATAGATATATAGTATTTATAAAGTTGTAGTTAATATGAGGAGAAAAGTTAATGTGCAATAAATATATTTCTTTAGATTAATAACAGTCTTTGAATGTGGGTAAGAAATGTCATCAAATATAACAAAAATCAAATAAATTGGATGAAGTTCTTTCCACTTAGAATTTCACACTCACAAGCGGAAGTCACATGTATTACATTTTGCTTATTTTATTTTGTTTTTCAAGTTGGTTATGAATTTACCTAATTTTTTGTTATATGTTACAAATTTTAAATTTAAATGGTCATGTTTTACCAATGCATTCTTAATTTTATAATGTCTTTCATGTAAATATGTCTATTTCTGTGAATGGTTGATTTACATTGGTTTATCTCTCATATATATATATATTATTTTCTGATATATTGCTATTTTTACATTTTAAAATTATCCGTTATAAAGCATATTTCTTCATATATTTTAGTTACAGATTTTTTGGTTTTCATATTTTTTTTTTGTTTTATCTTGTGTGGATTTTTCCTGAGTTGCCAATAGAATGGCAATAATTCCTTTGATCCAAAGTTCCATGACACTAAACTAAATTTTATTTATGACTATTCAACGTATTCTTAACTCTAATTCATTTTAATGATCATTTAAAAAATAAAATAAATAAACAACATCGTTTTACTCACTTGGGATGATAGCACATATCTTTCTTCCCTTTCTGTCGGTTCCTGGCAAACTTCCGAAGTGGTGTTGATCAAATACCTCAGGATTTTCTGAAGGGTAAATGATGCTGTACATATCTGGGTATCTGTATCCAAACTCATAGAAGTTTTTGACCTAAGAAATCATAAACTTGTTTCTAACATGAAATGAATATAGTACAAATAAGGATTCAATTAGATATTTTTTTGTTGATATGAATAGAAAAGCTTACATGATTTGAGTGATTTGAAATGAGTGATAATTACAGACCGGATTTTCGTGCTGTAAAAACTTTTGAAACATGCAATAATAAAATTAATAACATTCAAAAAGACCAAATAAAGGATAACACTTGATACTTTTTTCAAAAATATAAACACTCGAAAACTAATCATTTTTAATTTATAAAACTATATAAAATAAGTAAAAAATAAAAAAATCTTATAACACTCCTTGAAACAATTAAATTAAGTATTTTTATTAAATTTCAGTGCTTGGTACATTTTTAATGTCCTTGTCAATTACTACTAATGTCAATTTGTCAATTACCTACATGTTTTAAAAGAGAAAATGTCTTTTCTAAATCTACTGTAAGTAGAAATTACATGAACTTAAAATACTTAATCCAACATTCACATAATTTTTTTTTTTAATTTAAGATAGAATCCATAAGTTCATAAAAGTTTATAACTATAACTTTATTTCTTAAAACTTTTTCTAATTCTTCACTTTTGTTCCTGAACAAGCATCTTCTTCCAATGTCGCTACTAATTCTGTAAATTTATTAAAATCTCTTGGATATAAAGCAGGGTCTACTTAAGTACTCCACCATGTTATTACTGCTTTAGAAAGAAGTAAGGGATAATTTATAACTTCTTTGTTCAATATCTTGGTGGATCTCTAAAAACTGTGATTTTACATTTACTACTCTAAAAATGAATAAAAAAACAATTTCGTATGAAAAATTCTTATAATGTGCTAACTCGTGTAGTGACCCCAAAACAAGCAGTTTCGTGTAATATAAAATTAGTATCAAAAGACACTATTGCATGAAAATCCAGTCTCTAGAGATAATCAATCCCTCAATCAAAATACAGCAAACTCATAACTAATTTTTATGTTATTTATTTGAGAATAAATGGGTAAAATTCTTGATTTTTTTCATAAGAATGTACAAAATTATGAAAAGGTTTTTATTATGTTTCAGAAGCAACACTCATCTTTAGACCTGCTGTTTTAAAATAAATTTCAATGTGCTTCTGCGTTACTTTCAGAATGTTCTCCTTTTTCAATCCATAATTAATTCATTTATGTCTGTAATATAAACTAAAAAAACATAATTTTTGTACAAAACGTGTTATATCACGTATAATGAAATGATATTACATTACATGAAATATTTTCTTCCTTTTTTATAGGATTTTAAAGTTATGTTTTTCTATATGTAAGTTGGCTTTACAACCTCTGTTGTGTTTTGGCCTCCAACATCATTCTTGTCCATTCGATGCATATCTTTAAAGTTATGGAAAAATTAATTATTCATGTGAGTAGACCGAAAGATGGGTGTTAATTCTGAAACTTTACAGATATCTTTTGAATATTATTATTAAAAAATTAAAAATAGAAAAACTGTATTTACCTAATCCCAAATAAAAAAAAAGTATTCTGTCTGTCCTATTATGAATTTTAGTCTTAATTTTTATCTTTTCTAATTTTAATGACTCTTTCATTAGATATCTAATATATATAGTGCAAGAAAAAATATTTTACAGATAGAATCAAGGTTTAAAATATTAAATATGTAGTTTTATTTTGTTGTTTCAAATTATGATATTATAATAATTTTATGAAATTTATGAAGTACTAATTAATGAAGAGATAATGCAGTACAAATAGTGCATTATCTTTAGCATTTATATTTCTAATAAAGAAATTTTGTTATGTTTTTTTAATGAATATAGTTCAATGTATTATTAAATACTTTATTGTTTTATATAAGAATACAAGCAATATTTTTTGTATTATATATTGAAATTTTGATTATAAATAAAACTATGAAAAATCTAGGAAAAACACACAAATTGGTGCCTGCCAATTGACTACATTTGCCCTACAGTAGAAAACAGTGAGGGACTCTTACTTTACTCAACACTAATATTAAAATAATTGGAAATTCATTTCCTACATATATTATAGGAGTACCCTAGAAGCAAAGTGATGTTGAAACTAAATAAGCGAAACTAAGTTTTGAATAAACAATGACTGAAAATAATCCTGTCCTGAAATTGAAAAGAATTAGACTGGCCACTGACCAGCTTTCTTTTTTATAACAATTTATCTATCCATTCTTATAGTTTAAACAGATTTGCTATGATACATAAAAATGGTTTAAAATGATTTTATAATGATGGTTAGCACTTTTAATTATCTACAATCAACTAGTGTGTATTTATAATGATGGAAAATACCCATATAATTACTATAAAGGCTTATAGATCTATTTTAACTTATCGAATTTCATCAATTTTTAGATTCATTCTTGGATTATCGCAGACACTTTTTGAGAAAATACAATAGATTCAAAGATTGGGGCACTCGCATATCGATATATTTTGAATTATCAGATATCTTCAATGTCAGCATTAAGTATTGGGTTATCGGTGGTGCTTTTAATAAAGTTATTATTCATTTTAAAACTGGGTCATGTTTCATCGCTGTAATGTCTTTGTTTGGATTTCTTCGATATTGGAGTCTATTATTATATTACTAGAGGCTCTTTTTATAAAAATAACAACTAAGTTAAGATTTCACATTCATGTGCCATAAGTTAATTGTATTTGAAAAATAATGTCACCGTTAATCAAATGTTGAACCAAAATATTTAAGAAATCTAATATATAATAATAAATCGATAATGGATCTTAAAGTTTTTTTGCGGTGTCGAAAAATATACCTTTGATAATATTATAATAGTTCTTAATTTGAATAAAAAAAAGGAAAAACAAAAATAAACGGCCATTGATATAAATTAACGAATTTATCTGTCTAAGTTATCCGTTTTACTTATATTTTTTCGGTCCAAATATTCTACGCAATACTTTATTTTTAAAAACTTTAATATGATCATATACCTTAATGTAATCGTCCTCGTTTTGCATTTATAAAGAACAGTAGTAAGGATGATTATTTTGTAAATTATAATTTTTAGTTTTGGGACAGGATAGACGAGCAAAGTAGGTTTGTAACAGAAAAATAACAAGTATTTTTCCCTTCTACCTAGCACCCCCACATGATTCAGCCTTCAACCAAAATTGATGGAGCATGAATACCTCCCTTCTCTACAAGTTATATTGCTTTCCTCTTCTTAAAAAAAATGCAAAGCGAAAGCAGAATTAGAAAATTGTTAGAACATAAGCAATAACACTTGCTGTGCTCTGTCCCATGTTTCTCCTTAGTTCTCTGTTTTAAAACTTTTCACTCCAGAAATTCATAATCTAATCGAAATGTGCCCTCCTCAATAATTTAAAATTCCATCAAAATGTGTCTCCTCGATGGTGCATGAAACCTCCTTCTGAACACCCCTGCTTCAAATTGGCCATAACTTCCTTTTCAATTTAATTTTACCTATTTATGGTAGACCCTCAATTTTTTAGCTTTTCGATATAGAGAATCGTATTCTCTTATATATCTACCACGTATCTCTGAAATCATCTTATAAATAGTGTCTCCAAGGATATACTCATTATTTATTATTAGTATTAGTGTTATTATTTATTCACTTTTCAACAACGTTTCGACCTAGTTTGCTCATTCTCAAGTTACCAAAATCTAACTTTTCTTACCCCCCCCCTCTACAGTTACATTTACTGAAAAAAAAGTAGATAGACTAATTCCTAGATTTTTTTCAAATGCTCTCATACCGCTTTACTTCTAGGTTCCTCATATCTTATTTAATGCAGTAGTACTTACACACCGAAAGGCCTTTTCAACGTCATTTTTTCGACCTCTCAGGAATGCTGCAAGAAACAAGTCATCTGTCCTGGCATTTAAATTCTCTTCTTCTGTACAATAAAAAAAAAAAATTTTTTCATTTAAAATAAAACAATCGAAATATGAATGTCGAGGTAACAACTTACGTTTCAGGAGTTCTCTGAGGGCTCTGATGTTCTCCTTCAAGACTCCTGGTCTCTCATTCACTTGCTTTTCTGCCGCCATCTGCAAGTCCTTGGGCAGGTCACTGGGGTCATCCCTAGGTTGGAATAATTCTTCTAATTCTTTCTGGAGTGTGATCCTTTCGTCATCGGTAAGGTCTGAAACAGTCAATTTAATTTTTCTGTCAGAAATATAAAACTACTTAGTTTTTTTTTTGTGTTTGTAACAGTTACAAAAAAAAAACAAGTTTTCGATTCCGGACTTTGGTCTGGAAGTTCGATTGGTAATTTTTTTGCGAAAGCTTAGTATTGAAAAGAATCAGCTACAGAAATGGAGAAAGGAGCTACATAAACTATTGTTCTGGACTCGCTGGAAATACTACAGCACCACCACCTATATGAATGATGGTGGTTGCATTACTAGTTTTAGAGACAGAAAGGAAAGGATTTTTATGTTGTTTTCATAAATATTATTGACAAAAGTGATCAGAATACTATGCCATTTAGCAAATCATTAAAGTTGAGCAGCCTAACCGACAGTTTACGAATATTCGAGCAGTATTCCTGAAAGTTTTCGCACCATTACCTCGTAGGTCTATCCCTATTACATAAACAATCGATCTGAATACGCCATGCAAATGTCTGAGTAACATTTTCTATATGATTGTCACACTTGGGACAATAATATATGTCAAATGAATAAAAGTTATTTTCATTCATCCATCACTTCCTTTATGAATAAACCAGATTCCCATTAATAAATGTATGGTGTGTGGCTAAAATGTTACGAGACTCTTTCCTCCCCCCTCTCCCCGATATTAAAAGGATTGTGCGTTTTACTATACGAAGAATCCCGCTGTTTTTACACTCCCTAAAATAATAAGGAGAAATTCCCAAATTATTAGTGTTGCCCAAAATTGGTCTTGGCACTTTGCAAGACCAAGACCAAGGCCGCCTATCTGCTGCAAGACCAAGACAATAAAAAAAATCAATCTTTTAAATAAAAAGTAAGGCAAAATAGTAACTAATACTTGACAATCTTAGTTAATATATGTTAATAATTGGTATAACCAATATACTTTTGCATTAACTTCTCTAATTTTTCATTTGGGCTTAGTTAGGTTTCTTCTATCTAAAAAATTACAGTAATATCTCTATCGTAATAAGCTAATAAGTAACTGCAAGACTGTTGCGAAGGTCTTGGGCAAGACCAAGACCATGACCAAGACTGAGTTTGCAAGACCAAGACTCGTCTCGGACTCGCATTTGGGCAAACACTACAAATTATGCAAGGTCAAGTTATGAATTCTTCACCAAAACAATGCTTTGTCTTATTTCGCATTGCCTGTCAAGATATTTCAATCCAATTACAGCAATACAGTCCTAGACTATCCGCGTTATTCGGCGGATCTTGCGCCGTGCGACTTCTATCTTTTACTTAAGGTGAAATCTGCAATATAAGAAAAAAAGTTTGAGTGCATTTGAGCTTTGAAAGAGAAAACAGCACTCATCCTGAAGAATCTGACAGAAAAATGCTTCCAGCAATATTTAAGACAATGAGATATTCTAGGGAGGGGTATAAATTGTTAATAATTATAAATATGTATGAAAAAAAAAATAAAATGTTCTAAATAATCAGTCTGGATTTTTTTTGGTTTAATTTTTTTATTCACACCTGTCATAGTGGTAATGACAACCAGTGAATGTGAGGTCGTTGGAAAAAAAATAATGTCATGAAAGGCATTACGAGGATCAGTGCCCAGCGGCACCTCACTCGGCGTGATATCTACATTGGGCGAGGAGGTCACTCATCCAGCTCCTCTTCAGTCTCCTACAGATGTTACCTGGTATATTCGTAGTGGCCATGTCATTTATTAGTGTATTAGGATGTCCTTGTAAGTTGTCATGGAATCGTTTGTAATGAGTTCGTATAGCGGACCCTACACGTTCATTCGGAAGTGCACTAATGACGTTCCGAATTGTCGTGTAAGGTAGTGAATGAAGTACTGATGGTGGTGCGCTGCGGATTTCCGAACGTCCGGAAATCAAAGGTTCATTCACGAGAAGTGGAGGGGGACTGAGGTAAAAGTAGTGGGGAGACTAACCATACTGCTGGATAGGTTACGTTACCTAGGCCTCGCAACCATTATAAATTTCTGATTTTCATTATATGTAAATAGTTAAATAATTTTTCATATCCCTTGTTTATAATTTTAAACCATCTTCAACTATTTCTTTTAAATAGTCAAGTGGGCAACAAATAAAAAAAAAATGAGGAAACTTCACAATTTACTTTAAGAAAAAAAAAACTTTAACGTTGTGTATATTTATCAGTTCTTTTCCCATTTTCCTCAACAAATTTATTATTTTCGCAATACCTTTCCTTAATTTTTGTAAGTAGTAGACTTATATTTTACTAACTTTTGTCAAAACGATTTTCTATGAGACTAACCTTACTACTAGATAGGTTAGTTTACCTAGGTCTCGTTATTAAGTAAATAATTTCATAAAAGTAAATAGTTGTTTATATCCCTAGTCTATATTATTATTAACCATTTTCAACTATTTTTTCTTTAAATAATCAAGTAGGCAATAAATTGAAGAGAAAAAAAAGTGGAAACTTCACAATTTACTTATAGAAAAAAAATCTTTAACTGTTGTGTTTATTTGCCATTAATTTTTCCATTTTTCTTAACAAATTGATTATTTTCGCAATACTTTTCCTAGATTTTTGTATGTAGTTGACTTATATTTTTCTAACTTTGGTCTAAACGATTTTCAGGCACTAGGAAGTAATTATTATATCTCCATTTTTCTCTTGATGCCCAATATTATAAATGACAATGTCCAAATAAGCATATCTATGCTGTTTCTTTGTTTACAACTGAGCTAAATTGGTATCAGCAACGATAAGTAATGATCAGTAATGATTGAACGTGTAAGGGTCTTCATGATCAAAGCGATCGCGGGCAATCTTGGAACTTCTTGTGACGTTCATTCATGAATTACCTTGTAGGGTCCGCTTAACTGTTCGTTAACAGTCGGTATATGGAGGTCAGTATGTCAGGTTATATTGCTAACGTACCATGGTGCTTTTGTAATTGTTCTGAATGTTTTTGCTTGAAAGATTTGAAGTTTGTTTAAGTGAGTCTTTTTAACAGTTCCAAATATCTGTGATGCGTAAGTCCAAAGATGTTTTAGTAAGTAATTGTATGTGTTCAATTTCTGTCTAAGTTTTAGTTTTGAATTTTTCGAAAGAAGTGAACTCAGAATTCTTAATCTTTGAGTTAGCGTTTTTCCCACATCATTTTTCTGTCAAATGTCAGACCAAGGTAGTGAACGGTGTCTGTCTGTGGAATCTGTGCATTGTTAATGAAAACTGGAGGGCATGTTTCATGTCGAAGCGTAAATGTGATGTGCTGTGATTTGTCTTGATTTAGTCGGATTTTCCAAATTTTGAACCAGTCACGTAATCTTGTTAAATACTGTTGTAGGGTCTGGGTACTTGGGTAGGTTGTAGGGTCTGAATCTAGTAGAGCCTACAACTATACAACCTACTTGGGTAGGTTGTAGGGTCTGAACCTTGAGGTACTCCTGCTGAGATAAACCTGATGGAAGATAGTTCTGACCCGTGCCGGACCGAGAAAAATCTATCGAAAAGGAAGGATTGTAGAATTTAACGCCATACTTTGAACATTTGAAATTACATAATAAATCAAATTAAGATACAACCCTCCCCCCCTCCCGAGACGTGATCTCCTATTATAGATATTTTATTAGAATGCTACCTACAGTTGAAAATTTCAAGAATAAATTAAAAAAAAAACTAAGGTGTATGCTTTAGACCACTCGATAGAAGTGAAAAAATCAGCAAGGCAAGATTAATAATATGAATTTTAAATTATAAATAATAGCTCATTATAAAGAGGATAGAATGGTGAACATTTTCCTCGCTTACAGTATGCAGGTCTGATTTTTTAGTTTCTTAGATCCTTTAATCCATTTGTTCAACTAAACTCGTTATCATTTGGTTTTCAACACTATTTTTTTTCCTTTTCGCCTCTCTAACACGGCGTCGCGTTAAGATACAATTTTTAATAATAAACCATCACAGTAAGGATGAAATGTTAAACATTTCACTCGCTTACAGTATACAGTTCCGATTTTTAGTATCTGAAATATTTTAATCTATGTGTTCTACTAAACTCTGTTATCATTTGGTTTTTTTGACACAATTTTTTCCTTTTCGCTTCCCTTACACGGCGTCTCGTTAAGATACAATTTTAAATTATTGCCTATCATCGAGAGAATGAAATCTCGGACGATTTCCTCGCTGTAAAAAAATTTCTATTAGTCGACTCTAGCCGACTTTTCCCGAGCGTTAAAATCTGATGGATCAATCCAATTCACTCTCCACAAAAAAGTGCAAAACGCGCCGGAAAAAGTTTTCACTTAAAAAAAAAATATATATATAAATATTTAAAAATGTTAGGTGTGTTCTAATAAGGATACTTCTCATATCACTATCATATAAAAGAAGACGACTTAAGACTTAAGAGCAAACTCTCATATAAACGGGATTAGGCGCTTCCAACGCTCCACGTGCTAAAAGAGAGGAAGCTCAAGACTTGTGATTTAAAGACATCCCGAAATGAAGAGGAAGGATCAGGAAGCAACTTGTAATAAAAGTTGTGGAAGGAGGCTGAGTAAATGTTTACCTTAGGCAAGGATGGCCGGATGATCAAGGACTCAACAGATATTATTTCGGCATTTTATTTGAAGGACCCTTCTGATGAGCTTTCTAAGCTCAATCCTTAGTGCAAAGTCCAGGTAGGTATTATTCCTGATCTTTTATAAGAAACGTTGAATTTCTTAGTGAGATGTTTTTTTCTTTTCATGGGTTTCATGGAAAATTTAAATAATTTTACTTTGTCATTATATCAATAAATATTTATTATGTAGATTATATGTCTAGATTATGAAACAGTCGAAGAATTCAATGTTGTTTAAAGGAGTATATAGAGAAAGATTGACGAATAGAGATGGGTATATAATTAAAAAAAGAGGTAATCCGTGTTATGAAAGATTTTCTAAAGTAAGCAATGTTATAGGAGGGAATATATGAATCAATTGCTTGAGAATTTAAATTTCGATATTGA